CGCCAGATGGTTAATATCAGTCTAGAAGCACTCCACAAAAATGATGTTTGATACCAGATATCTTATATAGCTCGGAAATACCTTTGGCCAAATTTTATCGAGATTGGCTAAGATTTGGGCATATCTCCCATATATATCTATAATCCGTTTTCAGGTTTATTGTGCAAACAAGGCCTAATATCAGCCCAAATGGAGTGAATTTCGGGACGCACATTTCCATATTGTGGAATTCGGCTCCGAAATGTATTTTTTTTAACATAATTCTCCTCGAAGTGATATCATGCACTTTATAGCAATTTTATTTGGTATAAAAGATTAAAATGTCTACGTCAAATTTAGTGAAAATCGATTCAGAATTGGATATGCCTCCCATATATTAGTTCCCTCTGAAACCAAATTATAACTGTTCTAAAACCAAATGTTGATAGGTGGTATGATCTACTACGGGAGATCTACTAAATATGCATTGTGGTATAGGGTATGATCTACTACGGGAGATCTACTAAATATGCATTGTGGTATAGGGCATCATATAGTCGGCCCTGCCCGACATTTGTCTTTTCCTTACTGTTTTTTACTCATTCTTTGGTAGCATTGTCATACCATCGAATTATATTACAAACCAAATATTGCAGATACACCTTTGATACAGATTCAAATATTTTTCCAATAAGTATGGTAGGGATTGGTTAATGTTCGGTTTAAAAGATACGATTTTTAAATTATTTTACGTTAGCACTTATCTTCAAAGTTATATATCAAATAATTTCTTGTTTAAAATCTCAGTTGAAAAACTTTTCTTAACATCAACATATTTCTACAGCGATGTTATTATAGAACCTGATAGCATTTTCAGTGCGCCAAAATTTCAACTATACACTGCAACATCGAACAAATGCTGAGTGTTGTTATCGTTGTCACGCTTGTTGTTCGGTACCAACACGTATAAAACAATCAACATTTCAACAACAACAACAAACTGTGTTTACTTTTTATCTCAAACAAACTTCTATTTTTAATTGATTTATTTTTAAAAACAAACAAAAACTTTAGATGTGTTGTAAATTAACGTTAACGATGTTTAAATCACTGCAATCGGTGAACACATGAACGCGCCGATAAGAATATGTAGGGCCAGATTTCGTGTATCATAATGAGCAATGTTGATAATTTGTACAGTACTTAATTATAATATCAAAGTCAAATGAATACTATTGAAAAATAGTTAACGTAATAGTAATATTATCAAAGGTTTTCAACAAAATACTTTTTTAACCCACTGTATTGATGTTGACAAGGGTCAAATATGTGTTTGGGAGGTGTGATATTTGCTTTGAGCACGTAACAAATAAAACGAAGGTCTAATGAACAGAATGTATGCATCCCGTATATTTACTAAATTAAATTGTATTAAATAATTTCATTTAAAAAATGGGTTAGGTCGTCACATGTTTATTTGCAGTAAATTGCAACAAGTAACTGAAGCGAATGCTTGGTATTTTGGTCCGTCAGAATATATGTAAAAAAAATCGTTTCTTTGATTTATTTTCGCACTTTTCTGAAAACCACAAAATTGTTCATGTAAAGTACAGAATAATTATCCTATGAGTGGCGTTTAACGATTTTATGGTGTCAACTCTTTAAGATAATTTATGATTTTACCCCCGCATGTATAAAGCTCTCCGCTGACTGTCAAGCATGGTGTCCAGAATGAATTTTTCCTTTTAAATGTAAAACTAAATGCTGTATGGAAGAGAATATTGCCTATATTTACAAATTTAGAGGTTTTTCATCACATTTAAAGCGGTTTCATTATTTGGTTTTTAAAATGAAACCGTTTTAAATATGATGAAAAATCTCTATTTTCTTCTAGCATAAAATACATACTGGATATATAGCAAAATATAAAACCATAATAAGTTGCATTGTGTTAGTCATTGAAGTTCTCTGGAGTACGTGAAACGATTGTATTTCTTAGTTCTAGTTACAGCTTTATTAGTGACTTTTTTTGAGAAGCTAAAGTGAATTACTGACCGAATCAATTCCCAACGATTTTATATCTTAGTTCTAGTTACAGCTATTTTAGAGACTATTTTTTTTGTTTTTTGAGAAACTTAAGTGACTTATTGACCAAATCAACGCCCAGGCCCAGAAACGGCTAAAGCTAAAAGCTCAGAAGAATAAAATGTATATTATATGATAATATATTTTAACATTTGACAAAATGTGCGACAAAATTCACTTTTTTCAATAATTGCAGGTAAAATCCAGTAGATTATGAAAGTAAACCTAACAAGTTCCGTTTGGAACGAATCTATTTTTTTTTTTAATTTTTTAAATTAAATCTGTTACAAATTCTGTTAAAATCTTAAAAATACTGAATATAGCTGTTATATTGGGATCCGTATGAAGGCACCTTTTGGCATAAGTTATTACAATATTCAAATACGAAACTTAAAAAAACCGGTGAATAATGCCGCCAAAATCATCAAAATACAAAATATCGGAAGGTAATGTTACATGGGGACAATGCGTATACGTGAACCTGCACCGACAATTTTCTCTCTTAGGCTGTGGACCTCCAAATACGAAATTTGAAACAACTCCGGTGAATAATGTCGCTAAAATAATCAAAATACCGAATATCGGGAGGTGCCGTTATATGGGGGCTATACGAAGGCGTGGACCTGCATATATAATTTTCTGTCACAGGCTGTAGTACCTATTAGGAATTTCAAATACGAAATTTCGAAAAATTTCGGTGAATACTGTACCTAAAATCGTCGAAATACCGAATATGGGGATGTACTGATATAGGGAGCCTATACGAATACCTGGACTTACATAGACAATTTTCTGTTGTAGACTGTAGTTCGCATTAGGAACTCCAGATACGAAATTTGAAACAACTCCAGTGAAGAATGTCGCTAAAATCATCATAATACCGAATATCAGGAGGTGCCGTTATATGGGGGCTATACGTGAACCTGCACGGACAATTTTCTGTCATAGGCTGTAGAATGGATTACGAACTTCAAATACCAAATTTGAAACATTTTTGATGAATAATGTCGCTTAAATCACCAAAATACCGAAAATAGGAAGGTAACATTATACGGGGGCTATACCAAAACGTGGACCTACATGGCCCATTTTCAATACCAAAAGTCCTGCAGACGTAATATTCGAGTAAAATTTTGTCAACCTACTTCATTTCGTTCGGAAGCTAGAGTGATTTCCACAGACGCAGGCGGACGGACATCGCTAAATCGACATAAAATTTTATGCTGATCAAGAATATATATACTTTGTGAGGTCTAAAATTTATATTTCGAGGTGTTACAAACGGAAAGACAAACTTAATGGTGGAGGGTATAAAAAAACAGAAAATATTTCCATTTGTGGAGGGTATATAAAAAAAACCGAAAATATTTCCATTTTATAAATTTTTCATCGGACTTTTTGGCGAGTTGACACCATAAAATTTCATTCTAGTCGGAAAATGTCAAAAGACGAAATATTTTATACAAAATTTCAAAGGAGTTTTGAATTCTTATGCCGGATTCTGTTAAAGCCGTTATATAGCTTTGGTCATATACCAAGGGACCCCTATAATTTGAGATATATTTCGCAATTTCTAGGATAGAGCTTTGAAATTTGACTGAGATCTTTGGATACATATCTGACTACTTTTTGAAATAGCCCCCTTGTGAGGATAACTCTGATTTCAGGTAGTTCTGTCTTCAACGTAATTCTTCTTTGCATAACATGAGTTTTTAATATATATGAATTCCCGGCGTTTATGAAGACTCTTGACGTCTTCTTCAAATACCAGTAAGATCGTTTGGATAATGCTGTTAAACTTTTCAAAAAAAAACTGACTGAGGCAGTTGTATGGGGGAGATACCAAAACGCGAATCTCTATTGGCAATTTTATACTTCAAGGATTATAATCTACTAAAACTTCTTAAATACCAAATTTGGAACAATTTAGTGGATTAATGTGACTAGGATTTTAAAAATACCGAATTTCGGTGGGTATCGTTAGAACCCATTACCAACCACAAATATCAATTTTTAGACAAATCCGTGGAAAAATGTTGCAAAGATCATCAAAATACCGAATATCGGGAGGGATGAGAGCTATATCCAAACCTGTACCGATTTCAATGTAATATACCAAATTAATTTTTAGACCAAATTCCATCGAGCATTCCAAATATCATTAAAATTGGAGATATATTGTTGGTGCATCAAATATTCGAAATCAGCCGAAAATATATATGGAAGCTATAACCAAACCTCGACCGATTTCAATATAATTTGGCAAATTTATTTTTGTACCAAATTTCGTCACTCATGCCGAATTTGATTAGAATCGGACATACGTATCGTGTTTGGGACATCAAATATATGAAATCGACCGAAAATATATATGGGAGCTATATCCAAACCTGAACTGATTTTAATATAATTTCACAAATTTATTTTTGTACCGATTTCCGTTACACATTTCAAATTCGGAGACTTTATCTATAACTGATCAATAGTATTCAAAAACTAAATTTTCTAGAGGTACCCCCGATTCTGATGCTATATCTTCAGTTTCCAGTTGAATTTTAAAAATTTATATAGCGATGGCGATGCTATATAACCCCGAAATCGTTCTTCAAATGTCAGCAGCTTTTTTAGGTGGTAGCAGTAGGTGAATCGAAAAATTTTTAAACCTATATCAACAAAACAATGATTTATTTCAAATTGTACGATATCTCATATTTCCATGCATTTAGTTAATGACAATGTGGCTTTTGTTCAAAATATACATACAAATATATGTGCACATTAATCCCCCATGACTCAAATGATAATTAGTCATTTACAAGTCTGCCCTTCAACTTCCACAAATGAAACATATTTTAATTAGTAAATTTACAATGTTAAGCTTTTCAGACAGAACGAAACTGAGCACCTCTTAATTGAAATTACATCTATCATTTCAGATTTCCAAGATATACAAGTTATGATATTCGTGGGCTTTGGTTTCCTCATGACATTTCTGAGAAAGTACGGTTACAGTGCTACTGGATATACACTCTTCCTAGCTTCATTGGTTATACAATGGTCGGTGCTAATGAAAGGATTCCTGAAAATGGAGGATGGCAAAATAGAGTAAGTAAACAGAAATGAAAATATTTTCTATTTAATTGACAGCAGAAACATGAAACGTAGCAACCTTTGTCAATTGTTTAAATTAACCGTGTATATTCAATAAAAGAATTAATTTTGGCAATATATGGAGTGGTCTGCTAAAAACTATGATGGAATTTTCCCACCACTTGTACGTGAATGTTTTTTGGCATGTAACCACACCAACTCCTGAGTTCTCCATAGATATTCTTTATGAAAAATTCCTCTTTTATACACTCCACCATACATAGTATGGAGGGTATATTAAGTTCGTAATTCCGTTTGTCACTCATCGAAATAATAATTTCAGACCAAAGAAAGTATATATATTCTTGACCAGCGTAAAATTCTAAGATTTAGCACTGTCCGTTTGTTGTAATCACTCTAGAGTCAAAACGAATAAAGATAAGAAGCTAAAATTTTTCACCGATCTGTCTTTTGTCTGCAGGCAAGTCAAGTTCGAAGATGGGATATATATAACCAAATTTGTGAATGGAATTGTATGAAATTGTACACAAGGAGTTTTTCGTGGCTAGTTTACCCCGTGAAGGGAAATGTCTATATAGGTCCACGTTATCTTACGTCCCCCATATAACGGTACCTCCCGAAATTTGATATTTTGATGATTGTAGCCAAATTTTTCAGTATCTGGAGTTGCTTCTGAGTACTTTATCCCTTGTAGGAGAATTGTCTATATAGGCCCACGATATCGTATATCACCCATATAACGAAATTGTCTATAAATCCACACAAGGAATTTCTTCTGAGTACTTCATCCCCTGGAAGGGAATTGTCTATATAGGTCCACGATATATAGGCACCATATAACGGTACACTCTGATGTATGGTATTCTGAAGATTTTAGCGACATTTTTGACCGGAATTTTTTAAAATTTCGTATTTAGTTTTAGTTTGAAGCTCGTAATGAGTACCACAACCTTTGGCAGAAAATTGTTTATGCAGGTCCACGTATTCGCATAGCCCACATATAACGGTACCTCCCTTCATCCGGTATTTTGATGATATTAACAACATTGTACACCGGAATTGTTTCAAATTTTATATTTGAACTTCGGAATCGGTACTACAACCTATGATAAAAAATTACTTATTCAGGTATACGTCTTCGAAAATCTCGATGTAACGGTTTACATTTAAGTGGTATTTTTCGACGGATTGTTTTTTTTTTTAAATTATTAAAGATCCTGCAAAATGTTGGAGGGTATTAAAAGTTCGGCCCGGCCGAACTTGGCTGCTTTCTTACTTGCTTTTTTTGAGCGACACGCGTTTTTTTTTGGCAATTCACGGAAAAATTTTGTTGTAAAAATAATTGTACATACATGCATGTATGCAGGACAGCATTGCAAAGTTTTTTATTTTTTTTTTAATTTCTACCAGTCAGGAATGTATGTGTACAAATTTGAGATAGTATGAAAATTATCTTGAGAAATGGTTGTTTATCGGCCTTTTTATTTGATTTATAAATAATAAGATTTTTTCGAGCTTTAGGCCATTTTCGGATTTATTTTATTGATTACAATAATATGTTCCCAATATTTCGCAATTATCAAATTGCATCTTCAGGGGCAATCTATTTTAGAAAACATAATTATTAGTATCACAGCATTTTGTTATGGGCACAATTATTTTCCAAAAAAGAGATTTCTTACATTTACATAAAATTGTCAGATTTACTTAACAGCTAATGTAGTTTTTACTACCATTGTCTGGTGTTATTATTGCACTGATTATTTCTACGTATTGCACGATCTCTTCTTTGTCAAGTGTCGATAACAATAAGCTGCATTATCGGTGTCGCTTTTGTATACCAAAAGTAGAATTCCGTTAAGTGAGAGACACAATGTAATATATAGCATTGAATGTGATGGAACAAAAGACGAAAAATGTGGAAAAATATATGTTGGTACCACAAAAAACAAATTAAAAACTAGAATATCGGGACATAAATCAGACATTAAATTAAGGAGCCAAAACAATATTCAAAAAACAGCACTTGCGGAACACTGTAAACTTAACAACCACATACCAAACTTTGACAAAATACGAGTATTACAGGCGGAGAACAACTACAACAGAAGGTTAACATTGGAGATGCTGCATATAAATAACATACCAACAAACAAAAAGATCAATTACAAAAGCGACACCGATAATGCAGCTTATTGTTATCGACACTTGACAAAGAAGAGATCGTGCAATACGTAGAAATAATCAGTGCAATAATAACACCAGACAATGGTAGTAAAAACTACATTAGCTGTTAAGTAAATCTGACAATTTTATGTAAATGTAAGAAATCTCTTTTTTGGAAAATAATTGTGCCCATAACAAAATGCTGTGATACTAATAATTATGTTTTCTAAAATAGATTGCCCCTGAAGATGCAATTTGATAATTGCGAAATATTGGGAACATATTATTGTAATCAATAAAATAAATCCGAAAATGGCCTAAAGCTCGAAAAAATCTTATTATTTATAAATCAAATAAAAAGGCCGATAAACAACCATTTCTCAAGATAATTAAAACACGGAGAGCACGCCAAAAACCATAATCATGATCTACAAGAAAACAAATAACAACATACGACACAGCATAAACAGACACAAAAATATGAAGGTAAAAATTGAAAAAATAAAAACAACGTTAACCTTTCTCATACGCTGCCGTAATCATGGAATTATACCTAACTTCATAAAAAATGCAATGAAAAACATATACAATATTTTTAAAACTCCATACTTTCATCACATTCCAAACACTATAAAAAAACACATAGATATATTTCAGAACAAAATCCTTAGTTTAGTGATACAACAAAAACATAAACAACTTGAATATAAAAACAAAGAACTACAAGCACTAGATGAACGTCTAAATAGCCAAATGAGGAAAGAGGATTTTGATAACATTCACGACAACGAAAACATAATTATGTCAAGAACACACAACAAAACCAAAATAGTCCAACAACGAAAATTTGACAAACTAAAAGAAAACCAAATGAGAGAACTAAACATCACTCTCAACGATGGCTGGTTCGTGAATAAAACTAACGTAGAATTCCCAAAAGATGTAAAATGGTTACTCTCGTTAGGAGAAAAATTTGGATTACCAACTAGCAAACAGAACTTTCCACTATTCAAAGTCATTGCTGACGGCGACGACATCATACAAACAAACAACGACAAAGAGCAACAAGAAATAATGAGAACCAAATTTACAACAATGCTAGACTCACATCTAAACAAAATGAGAGATAGCTACAGAGACAAATTTATTAACACAACAGTGGCTCACAGCAAAACATTTTTGAAACAAAATAAAAATATTTTAATTTTAAATGCGGATAAGGGTAATGTGACAGTAGCAATGTATAAAGATGATTATCAACAAAGAATGAATGAGATATTAGGTGACATGATGACTTACCAACGATTAATTAAAGACCCCACATCTAACTTGTCCAAGAAAAACAATGAACTCGTGGAAGAATTGTTTAAAAACAATATACTATCGACGGCAGAGAAAAAATGTCTGAAAACTGACGTGGCTATAGCACCAAGACTATACGGACTACCCAAAATTCATAAAGAAAATTTCCCCTTGAGACCTATATGCTCATCGGTTAACTCACCTTCAATACAATTATGCAAATATGTGGTAAATATTCTAAAAAATCTGACCAAAAACTCCAAATACAATGTAAGTGACTCGATGCAATTTAGAGATAAGATTAAAAACTTGACGATTAAAGACGAAGAGCAGATGGTCTCATTTGATGTTGTGTCACTTTTTCCAAGTATACCTGTGGACCTGGGACTAGAAATAATAGAGAAAAGATGGAACGAAATTGAGGAATACACCAATATGTCAAAGAGCTTATTTTTAAGTATTCTAAAGTTTTGTATTAAAGATAATCGATATTTTCAATATGAGGGCAGAATATACAAACAAAAGAAAGGACTACCTATGGGTTCACCAGCTTCTCCGATTGTAGCTGATATAGTGATGGAGAAACTACTTGACACCTGCATGGAAAAACTTAAGACGAAACCTGTGATATTAACAAAGTATGTAGACGATTTATTTATGATTGTTGGGGAAAATGCAATACAAGAAACATTGACGACTTTCAATAATTTCAACAAAAATATTAAATTTACCATTGAAAAGGAGCATAATGGTTCCATCCCATATCTGGACACACTTGTAATGAGAAAGGACAATAAAATAGAAATGAACTGGTATCAAAAACCGACGGCATCGAGTCGCATATTAAATTTCCACTCGAAACATCCAAAACAAATGATTATTAACACAGGTAGGAATCTTATAAACAGAATATTGAATATTAGCGACCATAAATTCCACGAAACTAATAAAAACAAAATACGAAAAATACTGTCCAAAAACTGTTTTCCAAAATTATTAATTGAAAAATTAATAAATGAATATAATATACCGAAATCTAAGGACAAATCTCAAGAAAAATATTACAAATCAATGATTTATATTCCTGGATTATCTGAGAGATTCCAAAATTCCGATTTATATGACAAGGATAAACTGCAAATAGCAACACGGACAAACAATACACTAAAAAGTTTATTTACTAATACCAAAAGTAGAATTCCGTTAAGTGAGAGACACAATGTAATATATAGCATTGAATGTGATGGAACAAAAGACGAAAAATGTGGAAAAATATATGTTGGTACCACAAAAAACAAATTAAAAACTAGAATATCGGGACATAAATCAGACATTAAATTAAGGAGCCAAAACAATATTCAAAAAACAGCACTTGCGGAACACTGTAAACTTAACAACCACATACCAAACTTTGACAAAATACGAGTATTACAGGCGGAGAACAACTACAACAGAAGGTTAACATTGGAGATGCTGCATATAAATAACATACCAACAAACAAAAAGATCAATTACAAAAGCGACACCGATAATGCAGCTTATTGTTATCGACACTTGACAAAGAAGAGATCGTGCAATACGTAGAAATAATCAGTGCAATAATAACACCAGACAATGGTAGTAAAAACTACATTAGCTGTTAAGTAAATCTGACAATTTTATGTAAATGTAAGAAATCTCTTTTTTTGGAAAATAATTGTGCCCATAACAAAATGCTGTGATACTAATAATTATGTTTTCTAAAATAGATTGCCCCTGAAGATGCAATTTGATAATTGCGAAATATTGGGAACATATTATTGTAATCAATAAAATAAATCCGAAAATGGCCTAAAGCTCGAAAAAATCTTATTATTTATAAATAGATAGTATGAAAATTAATGTGTTTTTTTTTGGGTTATATTTATTTTGAGTTGAGCTAAATGATCTGAAATTTGTAGTGAAAAAGATAGCCAGACACCAACACACACTCTTCACTGTGCGACGTGTTTTGCTGTTGATTAAGTGGCTCATGGTGTGGATGAGGCCTTACAAAGACCGTTCGTATTAATTTTGAAGTTATTGCGATTAAGCATATGCGAATAAAACACCTTAACAATCACAGTTCGACGCATGTTCTACTGGACCATTTTTTCAACAGCAAATCTTTTTTTTGTAGCATTCGGCTTATTTCCTACAACAACTACATTGCTTCCAGTGCATAACAGGCGTTGAAAGCCACAATTCAACATTGAGGAGCACCTTTTAGTTTTTTTTTTTATTTTCAACAAAAGAAAGGAAAATATTTGAAAGTTTGATTGTCTTTAATTTATAGACTCAAAAACTGCTAAACAGATTTTCCCGAAAATATCCACATATACTACAGCTCCGACTTAAAGTAACATAGGCTACATAAATTTTTCAAACTCCACTTGGAACTAGAGATATAGCATCAAAATCGGAGGTTCATCTATTAATCAAATTTGGAATGTGTGACGGAATTCGATACAAAAATAAATTTGTCAAATCATAAAGAAATGGGGTCAGATTTTGATACATCTCCCATTATGTTTTCTGCTGATTTAATGTATTTGATGGACCAAACACGATATGTATCCTCAATTTCAATGAAATTTAAAATTTAATATTTAAAATTTTTAAAATAATTTTTGTCAAATTATATTGAAATCGGTTGAGGTTTGGGTATAGCTTCCATATATACTTTCGGGCGATTTCACATATCTCATGCACCCATCACGAAAAAACTTGTCCGATTCTAATGAAATTCGGAAAGAGTGACGGAATTTGTTCAGAAAATAAATTTGCCGAATTATATTGAAATTGGTTCTGATTTGGATATAGCTCTCCCATATATATGTTTGTTCGATTCCAACGTAATCTGAAATTTGTGACGGAATTTCTTAAAAAATAAATTTGCCAAATTATATTAAATCGGTACAGATTTGGATATAGCTCATAATTTTATATTCGACCGATTTCGTTTATTTGATGCACCAAACACGATTGGTATGTCCGATTCCAATGAAATTCGGCATGTGTGACTAAATTTGGTAGAAAACATAATTTGTCAAATTATATTCAAATCGGTTCAATTTTATTTATAGCTCCCATATATATTTTCGGCCGATTTTACATATTTCATGAACACCACGCGATATGTGTGTCCGATTCTAATAAAATTCGTACAGAGGGACGAAATTTGGTGCCAAAAACAAAAAATGCCAAATTATATTGAAATCGGGTTAAATTTGAAACGAAAATACATTTGCCAAATTGTGTTGAAATCGGTTCAGATTCGGATATAGCTCTCATATGTATATTTCGGTCGATTTCAGAATGTGTGGCGGAATTTTGTTACAATAATAAATTTGACAAATTAATTGCAAATCGCTTAAGATTTGGATATAGCTCCCATATATATATATTCTCGGCCGATTTCACATATTTGAAGCACCAATTTCAGTGAAATATGAATTTGGTCTAAATTCTCTAATTTCAACAGAAATGCCACTCAGCTTCAAAAGATTGCAGTTCCCTGCACGTTTGGCATTTCCTTTGGAATTAATAAATCCGAATGACAAACCCTTCGTTACCTAAATTTAGCATGTTCCTGTTTTTCCCATGGTCAGCTGTCCCTGGCATGATCACGCTTTAGTGAACTGAGCTATTTGTTTGTTTACGCATTAAAGTATTACAATAATTAAGTTTTTAAATTTTTGAACTTGTTTTATTTTTGTTTTTTAAACCAACAATTTTTAAAATCAATCAAATAGGGTTCCGAAGCCCACCCGGTTCAGCTAGTTAAGTTATAAATTACATATAATCACATATATCCTCTATCAGAATTTTTCCAATTTTTAATTACAGAAAAACGCTCTTACCTACTTGACATAGGCTCCATATAAGACCTTCTTTCTAATGTTAATTTTGAATATTCTCCACATTAAGGAAAGCATACTTAAAATTAACATTAACAAAATTAACAAAAAACCCATACAATTGTAATCTCCCCAGTAAATCAAATATTTAAAAAAAAAGTTATTGGTGACAATCAAACTCATTTCTTTTTATTCGAATATTATAAGATGTATCAAAAATTTACTCAAAAAAAATTGAAGATTTTTGATTTTATTTTGAGAAATTTTGTGACGTTTTTTGAACTTTGACTAATGCATTGAAATTAGTGCATCCCATTCCTAAATTATATTTGACGTTATTTATATTATTTCATTCTTTTTCTTTTTTGGATATTATTTCAGTCTTTCATTGGAAAACATAATTGATGCCGATATCGCTGCGGCTGTGCCACTCATTAGTATGGGCGCCTTATTGGGTCGAACCACGCCCATACAATTGTTATTTATGGCTTTATTCGAAATTGCATTGTTTGCCGTTAATGAATACGTTGCATTGGACATTTTGAGTGTAAGTAAATTATATTTTTTTTTTCTATATATATTCACCGCAAATAAGGTTATATTTTATAAATCTAGCTTCACCCTTAAATGTGGTCTACGGCTGTATTACGAAAGTATATAGCATGTGGATTTGGAAATTTCAATAGTTTTTTGTCAAAAACGTGCCTCATTAAAATAACGGTTTTGGACCCTAGATCTGTTTGGGCCAAATCCGTTTTAGGACATTAGGAGTCGATCTAGGGATATCCGTCTCTCCGGATATCTCTCGAAGATAGCATCCGATTTGGTGCCAACTTGCTGCATCGTAATATTATTATATCAAATTCAAATTCAAAGTTATATCAAATTCGGGGATGGACAATATCGGTCCACTTCTTATGAAACCTCCTCCACTACGGGTCAATATTTCGAATAATTATAACTATCATAAAATGCGAAATAAGCATCCGATTCCCCTCAAATTTCTCACACCCCAATATTTTAATTGGCTGAAGATGGGATCTTTCGGAACACTTCTATTGCTACATCTTCCACAAAAGGTAACAATTTTTAATAATAATAACAATAATGCGAAATAAATTTCGGTTTCTTTCTGGAATATGTCGGCCTACTCCATACGGTACCTTTCCCACAAAGTGTATCCGATTCTAGTTAAATTTCACACATCCCAATTTTTGATTTCCAACACAATATTTGGTGAGAAGAAGTTAGTTTTCGGCTACCACTTCTGGTACCTCCCCCACAATTGATAAATATCTATATTTCAATATTTATGTCTCTCATAACTAGCGAAACAAGTCAGCGATTCTTTTCGAACTTGATATATCCAAATACGTCTCTCAACCAAAGATCTGATGTGAATATGGACTACTCCTTCTCGTACCTCCGCCACAAAGGGTTAAAATTTCGATTACCAATTATTGGCATAAAATTGGAGACAAATATTAGATGAAGAGTGAGTGGAACACTTCGGTTTTTTAAAAAATATTATATGAAGGAACTGCTCGAATAGTCCAAAATTGGCACTTTGTGTTATTTATTTCACACTTAGGTCAAAATATATGTAAAATATATGTAAATGAACTGACTGAGGGTATACATCTGTCAGCAAAACTAACTGATACGTTTCAACCTGTTTTGGGTGTAATTTAACTAAAGCTCAAAAAACTCAAAGCTTCAAAACTCAAAAAAACTATACAGTTGTATGGAGAATTTGGCAAATATACCTTTGCTAATATTAAATATTTCCACAAGATGGTCATCTACATATATATAGGAGCTATGGCTATATCTGAACCGATTTTCACCAAATTTGTAGCACTTGCTTTAAGGCTGAGTTACATCCACAACGCATTTCATTTGGGCTGTTATTAGCCATTTGGTGCTCAAAAAAACCTGAAATCGGATGAAGATATATATGGAAGCTATATCCTAATCTGAACCGATCTCGATCAAATTTGACAGAGGTATTTTCGAGCAGTATCTGATGTCCGGTACCAAATATCATTCTTCTGGAGAGCAAATTACGCATGTGAGGGACTTGAAACCCCAAATCGGATGAAACATATATAAGAGAGCTATATATAACTATATCTGAACCGATTTTCTCCAAATTTGATTTGCTTCTAGAGCGAATTCGGTGGCATGTACCAAAATTCAGGTCATTTGGTGCACAATTAACCCGAAATCGGTTGAAGATATATGTGGAGCTATATCTAAATATGTACAGATTTCCACCCATTTCAATAGAGTTCGTCCTTGTGCCAAACAAATATCTTTTGGAAAATTTCTCTCAATCGTATAAAAAATTCGAACTAAATTATGTTTATAAAAATACATGGACAGACGGACTGACATGCATAAATTGACTCAGAAAGTGATTCTATGAAGATCTTCAAAAGTAACTAAGGGTCTATTTCAGTTCCTTCTCCATGTTATAAACAAAAACACAAAAGAAATAATACCCCTACCGCTGTGTGGTGTAGGATATAAAAAAATTTCAGATACAACGTGCGCATGACCACGCAGACCGATCCCACTAGAATGATTTCCACAGACGTATATGCAGACCCATAGTGGGAGACGTACAAAATAGGAGACCGGTTTTTCAAAAAATGTTTACAGGGTGAAACTAAAATTCCAAATTACTGTTAGATATAGTGCTTTAAGCCTTTAAATACTTAAAATATGATATAGTATAAACCTTTTTGGTAAATTGCAAGTGTTTGTCTTATTCCCATTTTTTTATTTTCAATTCGCCGCCATACCATTTATTGCATCAATGTTATCCATAAAATTTGTCTAATCATTTGGAAATAAATCTGCAAATCTGCCATTTTATATAATAAAGGACAACTCGTTAAATATTTAAAGAGCATGAATAATAAATTATCTAATCCATTTTTGTGGCATTTTATGCAGATTTGCGATGTTGGTGGTTCAATTACCGTCCATGCCTTTGGCGCATATTTCGGTCTAGCTGTCAGTCTAATGCTGCGCCCCACCAAGGATCAAAACGATGCAGGCAAATATGAAGGACCCACCTATACATCAGACATGTTTGCTATGGTTGGCACACTATTCCTGTGGATTTATTGGCCAAGTTTTAATTCGGTTTTAGCCGATGGCACTGGCCAAGAGCGAGCCATTTTGAACACGTATTTGTCATTAGCAGCTGCAACAGGTAAGCACGTATTTCTCATTTACTGTAACATGCATATCACTGTCTTGGGCCGGAATGTCATATGTTGTAGCAGCAAGTATGACATATCGATATATGTCCTGTCAGCAAGCACATAGCCGAACTGGCATAGACAGAGCAGAATATAACAGAATAGATTCACAGAGAAACAGAAAAGAACACTTAAATGTTTACGTGCGATTCATGATAAAATGCCAGGGCCGACACAGAGGTTGTAAGGAACAACAATAAAGATTCGGGCTAAAATACAAAATTGTATGCAAAAAAATTAATATATGTATGTTGCTTAAGTTTCGAAAAACGGGTAAAGTAATTTGAATATTTAGTTAAAGTTTCGGCATTATTAATGACCACAGACTTTGAGCAGTCAAATAATGGAACATTGAAGAGCATTGCACTACAATATTAATTAGAAACAAGTAAAAAAACATTAAGTTCGGCCGGGCCAAACTTTTAATACCCTCCACCTTAGGGTAAAAGAAACATTAGAAGAAATGTGGCAAAAACCATTAAAATGCCGAATATCAGGAGGTACCGTTATATGGGGGCTACACCAAAACGTGGACCTATAATTACAATGTTTCGCCACACGAACTAGGACCCATTATGACCCACAAATACCAATTTTTAGACAAATCAGTGAAAAAATGTGGCAAAAATCATCAAATTACCGAATATCGGGAGGTACCGTTATATGGGGGCTATACCAAAACGTGGACCTATAAATACAATGTTTCGCCACACGAACTAGGACCCATTATGACCCACAAATACCAATTTTTAGACAAATCAGTAAAAAAATGTGGCAAAAATCATCAAATTACCGAATATCGGGAGGTACCGTTATATGGGGGCTACACCAAAACGTGGACCTATAATTACAATGTTTCGCCACACGAACTAGGACCCATTATGACCAACAAATACCAATTTTCAGACAAATCCGTGAAAAAATGTTGCAAAAATCATCAAATTACCGAATATCGGGAGGTACCGTTATATGGGGGTTATACCAAATCATGGACCCATACATGCAATGTTTCGCCACCGGAGCTGGAAACCATTATGACCTACAAATACCAATTTTTAGACAAATCCGTGAAAAAATGTGGCAAAAAAACTAAAATACCGAATATCGGGAGGTACCTTTATATGGGGGCTATACCACAACGTGGACCTATACATGCAATGTTTTGCCACACGCTCAGGGACCCGTTATGACCTACAAATACCAATTTCCAGACAAATCCGTGAAAAAATGTGGCATAAATCATCAAAATACCGAATATCGGGAGGTACCGTTATATGGGGACTATACCAGAACGTGGACCGATATATCTCATTTTCAATACCAACCATCCTAGACACAATACCAATTGCTCTGCTAATCGTGATTTCAACAGACAGACAGACGGACAGACAGACAGACAGACAGACAGACGGACAGAAAGACGGACATCGTCAAATCGACCACTATGCATATTTAATAAACCTTATTTGAAGTAAATCTTACTAAATACCTATCAACATTGGGCTTTCGAGCAGCTATAATTCTGAATCGATTTTCACTAAATTTGGCGGAGAAGTTTTTTTCTTTTATACCGAGAAAAATATGTATCGCAGTCGTGTTCCGCCAAATGGAAACGTACGTCCCGAAATTCATTCCATTTAGGCTGATATTAGCCATTATTTGCACAATAAACCTGAAATCGAATTAAGGATAAATATTGGAGCTATATCCAAATCATAGCCGATCTCGATAAAATTTGGCAAAGATATTTCCGAGCTCTTTAATATATCTGGTACCCAATATCATTGTTGTCGAATGAAAATTACGAATGTTAGATACTTAAAGACCAAATCGTATGAAACTTATATATGGGAGCCAAATTTGATGTACTTGGTTCGCGACTGAATTCGGTCGGATATACCAAAATTCCAGTAATTTGGACTGATATTGGCCAATTGGTGCACTATTATCCCGAAATCGGTTAAATATATATGTGGGAGATATTGCTATATCTAAACCGATCTTGATATAATTTGGCAGAGGTATTTCTGGGCCATAGCTGATACCAAACATCATTGTTGTGGAGTGCATATTACGAATGTAAGGGACTTATACACCAAATCGGATAAAACATGTATATGCGAGCTGAAGCCATATCTGAACAGATTTTCTTCAAGTTTGATGTACTTGCTTCAAGACTTCGGTCCGGTGTGCCAAAATTCCAAACATTTGGACTGATATTGGTCATTTGGTGCACAATTAACACGACATCGGTTGAAGACATATATGGGAGCTATATCTAAATTTGAACCGATTCCGAATTTTTAACTTTGGAATGAGAGTCACGGGTGGAGTGCAGGATGGCTGGTACCAAAGTATTTTTAGAAAATTGAACTTTAAATTTGCGAAAAGTTCTAAAATGATACAAAACTTTGAAAATGGTACCATTTGGCATTATGTGAGCGGATAGAACTAAAAATTTGAAATTGGGCATGACGCAAACTGTACTAAATGGTACCAAATTTAGAAATTTTGTATTGTGGTCCCTTTTGGTGGTAGGTAGGTTTTTGATAAAGAGGTTGTTTTTTGGAAATGTGTACTAGAAGTGTACAAAAAGTACTGAATGGTACTATATTTGGTACAATTTGGATTTGGTGAAAAAAAGAGCTTTAAATCTGAAATTTGGTACTGGTGTCGTTGTTCATGTGTAGCCTGGTCATATGGAGTTGATTTCGGAAATGTGTTCTATAATTGTACCCTAAGTACAAAATGGTACAAAATTTGGCATGGGGTCCCTTCACCCCGCGTTGGGTGGAATTCACAAATTTGATATTGAGGTCTCTCTTGGTATCTGAAATTGAGATATGGACGTGGCTTCGGAAGTGTGCACTATAATTGTACGCAAAACACTGAATGGTACTAAATTAGCACTTTGCTGAAGGTATTGAGAAAAAATTCTGAAATTTGATATTTACAAAAAGTACTAAATGGTGTTGGGTGAAGCGATAGGGCAGTAATCCTCAAATTTGACATTGAGGTCTCTGTTGGTATCTGGAACCGAGATATGAATATGATTCTGTAAATGTGAAAAAGTACTAAATAGTACTTAGTTTGGTATTGAGTAAATGTATAGAGCTGGAATCCCGAAATTTGATGTTGAGGTTTCTGGTGGTATCTTGTGGTGGTTTTGTAAAAGCGTTCTATAATTTATCGAAAAATACTAAATTGTCTCATTTTGAATCCCTGTTGGTGTCTAGGATAGAGAGATGTAACCTGTTTTAGATATGAGTTCTAAAAGTTTCTAATTTGGTATTGGTATTAATAGAGCTGAAATTCTGAAATTTTATATTGAGGTCACTATTGGTTTCTAGGGTTTACATATGGATATTTTGGGACAGAAAATTGGATGTGGGTCCATTCTGCAATGGTTTTACTAATATTATCCTCGGCAAACTTCAAGAAGAAAGATTTTGAAGACTATTTGGAGTAAAAGGTAAACATTGTTCTTTCCGAAAAAGGAAAAAAATAATAATATAAGAAACCTTGAAAGTGTGAAAATTTAGTGTTGATTAAAAAATGTTGTCAAACAAAACAAATTGTGAATTTTTAATACGGGTTTGAATCTCTACTCAAACAAGTATTTCGTTATATGGGATATGGCAATATAGAGCTATACGAAGACGTGGACCTGCACAGACAATTTTCGGTGTTAGGCTGTAGTATCCATAACGAACATCAAATACCAATTTTGAAATAATTCCGGTGAATAATTTCGGAAGCTAGAGTGATTTCCGCAAACGAACAGAGGGACGGACGGACGGACAAATGGACATAGAATTTTATGCTGATCAGAATATAAATACCAAAAGTCCTGTAGACATAATATACATTTGAGTAGTATTTTATCAACCTTCTTTATTTTGTGGGACATAGGGACGGACGGACGGACAAATAGACATAGAATTTTATGCTGATCAAGAATATACATACTTTGTGGGGTCTAAAATGTATATTTCGAGGTGTTACAAACGGAATGAAAAACTTAATATACCCTCCATACTATGGTGAAGGGTATAAAAAGGCACATCTTATGTATCAAATTCATTTCAAAAGGTTGTGGTGCCGATTGTTTCTACTCCTTAGCAATAGTAAAAATTATACTTTAGCCTTACCCTTGCCACTTAATAGGTACTATTATGTGTAACGTGCAAATTCATTTCAAAAGGTTGTGGTGCCGATTGTTTCTACTCCTTAGCAATAGTAAAAATTATACTTTAGCCTTACCCTTGCCACTTAATAGGTACTATTATGTGTAACGTAAGAACGGGCCACAACAACAAAATCAATTAAAATTTTAAGAGCATTACAACGTCATATATAAAGGACTTTAAATTGTGTTACGGCAATCTATTTCGATCGTAATTTAATTCTTATAACTAAACTATGGTAACGGAACTAATGGTTGGTCTCTACTCTCTGTTGACCACTAAATGGAAAACAACACAATGTTTGGGGGTCTGCTGTGAAAAGTGAGACAGAAAAAATGAAAAAAAAACAAATAATACTCTAAATGCATTACATCTATAGAGTAACGTATAAAGCACTTTAAATTGTATAATGCCAACCTCAACACAATCAACAAATTGTTGCAAGTTGCAACTCTAATCCTAATGTACTAATGGTACTAACAAAAGTGGATTAATTTAAAGCACAGTAGTTTGAAACCTAAAAATATGATATGTGGGATTTTAGTATAGGGATTTTTTCAACGAATTGTACCCAAATCCCAAATTTAGGATATGTGTGCATTATAAAATTTATAATCGAAAGGAAAAATTGACCCAAAATTGAAGTCATTTTTATACCCTCCACCATACATAGTATGGACGATATATTAAGTTCGTTATTCCGTTTGTAACTCCTCGAAAAAATAATTCTAGACATAACAAAGTATATACAGGGTGAGACAAAA